TTTCCTAGAAAATCTAGCTTGATATGCTAAGATAGAAATTTTATTTTTTTTTATATGAGCACCAATTTAATTTCTGTTCACCAACACATACTGTAGTGTGCTTTTTATAAAGTATGATCATCAGTATATTTTTGCATGGTAACTGTAGCAGTGGATAATTTGTTTCCATACTCTCCAAACATGTATGTGCTCTATCAAAGATGTAAAAATCTTAACAGAGCTTTTGAATGCAACCAACAGTTTCAAACTTAAGCTGATCCTGGTACACTCCGCATTACATGCTTCAAAGGCTCCTGGCACAACAAACCAGCTGTATAAATACATTGGCACAGACAGCAGAGACAGGTGTTGCCTCCACCCATAGGAATCTGACTGCTAATTAAATAAACCTTTTCTAACTTTGTTCATATGGTCACTTGGGGAGTCAGCCAGGGATGATAATGTGTCTGTAAGCTGGAGTCTGGGGTTTTTTGCAACAGCTTTCAGCAAGCAAGCAATAGTTTGCATAGTGAACATTAAACCAGTTGGTCATTGCGATAGGTAAATTGATTATTCCAGTTGGTGGTAATTCCTATAAAAAGCTGTAGAGGAGTGGGTGGAGTTTATAGATGACTTTAAACAGCAGGGGTGGAAACAGAGACAGTGTAAATATGCTCTTTCTGTTGAGAGATTCTTTTTCCTGCTTGCAGGTGACATTGTGAGGAAACAAGGGCAGGAAGCTGTTGCATGTGTTCATATTACCACAAAGCAGGTGGTATTTCTGTTCATGTCTGAAAAGCATGTTTGAAAGCATTTATGATATTGGGTTTATGTGTTGTTATTTCTATGCTATATATATTATGACGTGTTGTTTTTTCTATGCTATTATAAAGTCAAGTGCAGATTTCATGTCACAGAGAGGAAACACCGCTCCCTAAAGCTGCAAAACTAGGAGAAGGAATAATCTTTAACTGCAGCATCTTCTTGTGTTTTGGCCTTTTCTCAACAATTTCTGGGACTCGTGACACTTAAAAGACAAGCATATTGCTGTCTGATGTTCCAAACCTGTCTCCCTCTTCCCCTTCTCTCATCCAAAATATGTATTTGAGATCTGATATTCCAAAACAGGGCGATCTTGTACTAAAATTGTGAGTCTACCTGGCCTTGGCTTATGATGTTTACGTTAGCACAACCATGTGGTGAGGCAGCGAGAGCAATGTTAACCAAACATGCATTTGATAAAAATGTCCAGTGGTGGAGAATCAGCTGTTGTACAGATCAGTTTACTTTAAATGTTAAAAAGGTGATTTCTGGTTTCCTTATTAAAAAAAACCTGTGTCCAAATAGTCCTTAAAGATTTGCATGAGAAAGAATCCTTATCTTTGGGTTTAGCAAATAGAGGTTGAGCTGCAGAGGTAAACAGAGGGGCTTTTACATTCTGTCTGAAGAAAAAAATGAGAATTTCTGTTTCTCAAATTGGATCCTACTTCTCCATAAAAATCACTGACTCCATGTAATTGCTTAAAAATAAGCATGTAAAACATATTTTCGACTGTCATTCTCAATACTGGCGTACTATTTGAGTAGAAGTGTAATATTAATTAGACTTATAGTTTGTCTTGATTATATGAATATAATTGGGGATATTTTTTCCAGTTGCTGATTGTTTTCCAAACAGATTCTTTTTTTACTGAGATCAGAAAAACTGATGAACAGGGACGTAAAAAATAATATTAATTCATACCCTGCTCTCATGACTTATGTGAGGGTTGGATTTGACACATCACTTAAAACATTCTTTTCTGGTTTTGGTTACAATTGAGGGTGATGGCCAAATTCACTTCTGGCGGAAGCATTATAACTCCATAAAAGTTTCATTAAAGCTGTGAATGAAAGAGATCAGTTTGGTAAGTGGAATGTTTGCATTTAGCAGGGCCTGTGGATGGTATGCTCAGCCACTTTTCTTTGAAACTTATGTCAATGTCTGCAGGCCCATGTATACCATACTATTTTTCTCTTATCTCCTGAAAAAAAGAACACAGAACACATTTATAAAAATGTATTCCAAATCTCTTTCTTGGTAGGCCAATATTTAGGTCTTATCTCATTTTTTTCTCTATGAAAACTTGAAGTTGCATTCTTCCTGTTTTGATTTTTCTATGACATGTAAGTCATAGAAACTAAGTAAATTTGGCACCTTTTTTTTGTTTGATTTTGGTTTAAGCTATAAACACAACATTCTAGGTATGGATATGGACTTTCAGACCTTCTTTTCATTTTGTATTTGTTTTTTTGTTTTGTTTTTTTTTTGTTTAAGAATTGCATAGAAATCCAAGACATTACAGTGTGCTTGGCTGGCCACACTGAACAGATGGGTTTGTGCCTTTATTTTTTGGAAACAATCCATAGGAATTTTTCTAGCAAACTAGTAATCTTCTTCACTAAAATCCACAATTCAAATATTAGCAAGATCAAAGCTACAACTGTTTTCATATAATAATCAGTGTTACATAGATGTTTTCTGTAAATTGGAAGACATGTTTTGAATTATTAAGCCTTAAGCAGAGATCAAATGCTTTTGTTTGTATAAAGAATTGTATGCTTTAATTTAGGGTATTGTTTCTATTCACATGCTTTGAAACTTGCATGTGATCTAAAAGGTTGTGTGTAATACAAAAACCAGATGAGTTTGCTTCTTCTCTGTCATGTTAAGGACAGAGGTTGTGTAAACTCTTGATTGGGCAATTACTTTTTTCTCTTCCAAAATATGAACAGTTTCAAAAAGTTGTCTGAGATTTGAGCCTTTGGTATTATCTGGCAGCTGAAGTGTCATAAAATGGATCTCTTAAGAACTATCATTACTAGCAGTTACGCTCCTGGCACATCACATGGTCGTCTTTGTTGGTCATCTAAAGTTATCTGTGTTTTCTTATTGCTTCAATTTTTACAGAAAATCAATAGAACAATTTATGAGAAATTTTTTGATTTTTTTAATAATCCGCATACATCTATGACAGTAGTACAGCTTTAACAATGTGACTTAATTTTATTACAACAAGGAAAAACAAAAATAATGCTTGCGACAAGTAGATGGAGTTACAGTTTGTAAAACTAGTAAACATTGATGGAGATTCAGCTACAACAGTTCCAGGCAGGTAACAGGTAATATTCAGATTTGTGTAACAACATTACACTGTTGTTTTTTTTTTTTTTTTAAAGACATCAGACAAGGCTTTTGTAGGTGGTATTAGTCACATTTGCTTATTCTGTTAAAATTTCTGTGTTCTATGACGTTTCCTTTAAACAGGATAAAAAAAGGATGGTTTCTGTTCTAACAGCTTAGCAGGAAAAAGACAGTTTCAAGTAGAAGCTTGTAGATACTGTAAGTCATACTTAGCTAGTTACCATACACTGAATAGGAGCAAATTGTGCATTTCATGAAAAATGATTAAATATAATCATATGCAATTAGATATTTGCTCTTCTAACCAATACTTCAAAAGTTGCTTTTTTTGTTGTTTAGACAATCCTTTTTTATCCCAAAATAAATATTCTATAGCTTCAAAACATGTTCTCAAGCAAAGATTATACATCTTGCAATTAAAAATTTCCATTACGCTTTAAAATTGAAATAAAATAAACCAAATTACACTTCACACTGAAATATCCTTCAAACTATTTACTTCTTTAAAACATATATTAGTATTTTACAATTTAGCAATTGCCACTGTTGCTCATTTGCATAACTTGTAACCATAATAGTTCTTATTATTATCTTAAAAACCAGTAAAACTCATATTTGTAAAGTATTAGGTCAGCTGTATACTACTGGGTTTTTTTGGTATCTTGTAACCAAAAAGGCTGTGCCAGCAAAGACCACACTTTAACTGGTAAAGAAATACAGTCTCAGTATAGTTCATGTCTATCTCAAGAGTGGCATAAGCAATATAGCAAAATAGCCTCTTGCTAAGATAAATTGCATCTCTGCTCATCATATTAGTCACTGTAATTACAGAGACATGTCCTTTCTAGGGTAGGCACTAGATACACGTATTCAAGTTCGTTCGTATCTACAGCATGAGCTTTAATAGTAGTATCTCTAAGATGCACTTCCTGAAGTATTTGAAAATTTGATTGTTTCATTTGTTACATTTTAGAAGAAAAAAGTCTTTCACATATTCTCTTTTCTGTTTATAATTGCCAGTGGGTTGTTCATGTTTCGGTGGCTACAAAAGGCGTACTCAGAAAATGGGGAGAACACAATCTTTTCTTATCTTAATTCTTGTAATTCTTATAATTTTAAGGTCTAATGGTACCTAGAGTGCGAGGTACTTAAATGAGAGCTGCAAGAGTCATCTTGTAACATTTGGCTTACCTAAAATATCCAGGAGAAAGTAAGAACGGTACTGGAAACTCTTTTTGTATGTATTTAGAGGCATTAATGCAAAGACATGGATTCTTCTTGATGTGTCTTCTTCCTACCTATCTACCTGCCTATATAAAATGTGCAATAAGCTACATAACGGCTCCTTTCTCTCACAAATGACAAACAGGACCTTAAGCTTGAACGGAGGAACCAAAATGAGCAAGAAATGTTGTCGTTCATTACATGCTCTCTACACTATTTCGACTTGCTTTCATTCAATTCCTTCACCAACTTCCTTGAATAATCATTGATAAAGGGGATTTGAGGAATCATCTTCATTTTCTAAGTTTTCTTCAAGGCTTTTTTTGTGTCCTTGGGCAAACCATGTGGCCCTCTGTTTCCTAGTCCTTTAAAAATAATAATTTGTAGTACTTTTCCTAATTTATATTGATATTGCCATGGCATACCTTTGAAGTTGTGAAGAATAGATGATACGAAAAGTCAGGCTGTTTCAGAGAGACTAACTTTCATTCTAAGTGTTGACAAATTTCTATGTTACCAGTTATACCTCTGAGTTATTTTCAGGTTAAAATGTAGGTGTTCATTCAGACACAATTTGTGGAAGACCATTTAAAAGTTTTAAATCATAAAATCTGGTATATCACAGTCAGTAAAAGCACCAAAAGCAATGTTTAGAATATTTACATAATGATACCAAGACTTAACCTGTGCTAAGTTTTAGCAGTAACTATTCAGAAACATTCATGCTGTTTTTAATACATTATATGGGCCAAAACATCGCTAAAAATTTGTGGAAGTATGTTGTTTTGTCTAGAACTATTTTATGCCAAACGTAACTGAATATTTGAATTCTGAGTATAATACTGCATAAGTATGATTTTGAGTGCAATCCAAATGCAAACTAGTTAAGAGGAAGGTGTAGAATTACTGCACAAAAGTTTTGGGTCTGATCATGATTTTTACTGATTTAAAGGATTGCCTGTATCCACTGGGAACATCATCAGAAATACCATGCCATGTACCCCAGAAAATGCCATTGCGAACACCTTTGTATTTCTTGTGGTAGTACTTGCCATTGAGGTTGGCAGACAGGCATGCATCAAACCACCAGCCAGAGCTGTAGTACGCTCCACAGTTTCCTGAAGGATACCTATCGTTGTCCTTGTCCGGAGTTGTAAAGAACTTTTGATCGTGGTTGTAATGCTTGCTGTAGTGAAGGGCATCTCCTGCTGTGCCACTATAGCCATGAACACTTAGACGGTACTTTAGATATTCGTTGGCCACATAGAAGTGTTCGTATTTCGCGTACTCTCTGATACCATTGAAATCTTCAAGTTCAATTCTCAGTTGCATTTCCTGGCTCTTTGTCAGGAGGTGAATTTTGTCATTCCCCAGCCAAAACTCCCTGCTGAGGTTTCCAAAGCCATTTTTGTAGTCATTCCAGGTTCTGTTAAAGTTAGTGCTACCATCCTGACGCCGTTGCAGCACTGTCCAGCCGCCTCCATGTGTTTGCATGTCACAGTAAACTTCAAAGCTATTATTTCTAGGGTCAGGGCTAATCCTGTAGATTCCATTACTCCTTCTGCCTGCTATGTAATGATCAGCACAGTCTCTCTGCATTATCTGTATAACTGGTGGAAGAACAGATAGTGTTAGAACACACGTAATTTCAATTTAAAAAGAAACAAAATTTTTACCCAGGCTGATGTGGCATACAGCACTTGGATTGAAGAGACTTCTACATAGGAAAAAGTGTTACAGCAATTTCAGTTCTAGGGAGAAACAGGTTTTTTCCATCAGGTTTACTCTATAATAGGTGCCACCTAGGATCTCTGCATCAAATAGCTGTCCAAAAAAACCCATTTAAATGACTTTTTGTATCAGAACTGCCTAATATAGGGGCATTTTGATTGGTTGCTTTCCCTTTTCTCCTTTTCTCTACTCTTCTCTTTATCCTTTCATTACCTCCTGTAAATTCAGCCTGATTTCTTCAGTCCACATTTCTAACGCTTCATGTTTACACACCTGCTGCTTTTTGTATTTAAATGTATACCATCACACCCTGTCTATAATTCAAATCTTCATCTGGCAGTATGTCAGAGAAAAAGCTTTGTCCATATGGGAATGACTTTAACTTGGCTGTTGTTCAATCAACATTGTTAGGAATGTTTCATGTGTTAATGTTGACTGTACTTTAGGAAGCAGGAAAAAAAGTAATAAAACTGTCTTGTCTATTGTAGTAATAATGTGATTCCTAGAAAGATGAAGCTAGAAAAGTGATGGTGCTTTCCTGTGTGTGTGGCATTGCTGGCTTTACAGTAAGGAAAAGTTTTAGCATTTACCACTAACACAGCTTTTTCCTACCAATGGGTGATGTATTTTATTCAGAATAAAAACACCCCAGGTTTTTCCTGCAGAGTGAAAATCCATTTTTGATCTACAATGTCATCCAGTAATGACATTGTGTTCAACAGTGTGGTATTATAATTCCATGTTCTTAAGTGAGTGATACAGAGAGGTCTCAGAAGTTCTGAGTTAAGAGTCAAAACTGTAATGTTCATTCCTACTGCAGATTTGAATTTATGGGTGTGTTCATTTGCAGGCTTGAATTGCATATTTTTCCTAGAAAAATTTAAACAATTAAACTACTTCTTGAAAGGGAGGAGTGTTCTCAGGCTGCAGCAGGGAATAAGACTCAGGACTCCTTGTTTGCCAGTACAGAAAACTGGCCATCTATGAAAGCAAAAGGTATAGGAATCAAAGGCTTAAAAGCCAAATCTAAATCCACAGTAGATTCTCATTTATTTCACTGAACTTTGTGTAAGATCTTTGGTGGACTAAGTTTCGGAGCATATATTGACAGAGAGTATACATTTTAGATAAAATGCTTTTATAATCAAATTCAACTCCTATTTAAATAAAGTTTTGTTGTTACTGCCAGTGGATGCAGTAATGGCTCCTGTATAGAAAAAAAGCTGTAGCTGTTATCCTTCCTAGCTTTCATAATGTATATATTGCTGCTACAAACACTTTTAGCATCAATTACTGTAAAATGTAAGGAATAGCTACATGATCATATGCTATGAACAGTACCCAACATTTCAGTAAGAAATGTGAGAAATATCTGAAATTAATTTAGTCTATTATGAAGCACTGATTATCAATATACCAAATATCATTCATTCTTTTTGTGAATGTTTTCTATCTGGATTAAAGTAATTGATTTATACTGATTTATAGCTGATTGAAGCTGATTGTTGATATGGTAAAAGCATTACCATAAAAACATTTATTATTATTCATTTGCTCTTTTCACACTTTCAGGAATTTCAGCTGTACATACGCTGTACCATCTGCAGATCCTTCAGTTTTCAATATGGGTAGACAGAAGAACAGTTTTATTTTAAACTTGAATGCTAAGCAGCAGATGCTTAAAAACTGTAATGCAGCCTGATCTTTCTCTGCTTTATCTCTAGAGACCCCTATCTTCATATGTATGATATCTAAGTGGTAAATACACTGACAATCTAGTGAATATTTCTTATTTTCAAAGATTCTTATATGTGATATAAAAACTTTATGACTTTTAAAAAACCTCAATCTTCCCTTAGTAACAGTCAACATTAGAAAGAAAATATTTTTCTATTTCTTGATTTTAATTAGGACAATTAAAAAGTAAAAGAAAAAGAGTGTTTGTCAGTGATAACACCTGTTTTCTGTTTTAGATTTGCTTATATATTAGGTTCATGCTAAGGGTTTAGTATTAAAAAGATGGTACATATGTTACCCACTTGAGAAGTTCTGCTATAAGCTTTTTTTAGCAGAGCTTTTCAGATATTTGCTGTGATGATAGAAGAATTATTTTATTACCCATCTGTTAAAAACTAAAGATTTTAATAGATTCACTTGATGTTTAATAATGTCTTGTAGGCCTTCGTTGCAGTTTCACATTGAAAAAACCCCATGCAGTTTTCTAAGGCACACCTATAGAAAATTTACCCCTTCTCATCCAAGGAGAAAATATATGTAGTTCACTGATGTTTAATATCCTTAATGAAGGGTAGTACGGTGTAAAACAAAGTTAATTTTTCACGTTTACTAAGTGAATTGCAGAAAAAGTCCTTTGAAAATCCATGTTTTAAATGCCATAATAAAGTACAATTTCAGGAGGAACTGAACACCTGCAGCTCTCAGTAACCCTCTAGTGGCAGATGAAATGTTTTACAGGAGTATAAATTAACACTAAAGAGCAAATACTTAATTTGTGAAGTTAATAACACAGCTATTTGGTTAAAATAGATTTAAAATTGTTTATGTTATATTTGTAAAATGCACAGAAAGCTTATACAGGCAGTAAGAATTAACAGGTTACATACCAGGTCTTGGTTGCATTGCTGGACATTTAGAAGAACATTTGTTGTCAAGGCTGTTCACAACAAACGTCAAATTAGCAACTTTGCTGTCAACATAATGTTCTACATTGTTCATATTTATGAGGCTCATCTTCTCTAAACGACCCTGCAGTGTCTGAATCTGGCTCTTTGCATTTTTTAAGCTGGTTGCCATTCTGTTAACTTTGCTTTGCAGTTCCCTTACTCTGTTATCTTGGATTTTGCTGTTTTCTCCTGGAGTTTCTGCATTAGGTAACAGGAATTCATTACTACGGTCTCTTTCTTGGTTGTCATCTGCCTGCAGCTTGCAATCTTGGCAGCATTTCTTCAGCTTGTTTACTGCTTCTTTAAGGGTCTGTACTTCTTTGAGAGTCTTCTCAAGCAGTCTGAATTCTTTGGGTAACTGAATGGTCATTGGAGGCAGATTTATCTGATATGGACAATCCTCTCCTCCATCACATTTCCGATTAGTTTTGAGCTTTATAGGACAAGTCTCCGTAACTTTTCCTTCTTTAGCATGCTCTTCATCTTCTAAAACAACTGCAGAGGCATTTGTTAAAGCAAGGAGAGCTGTTTTCAGGAAGACTAAGTAAACTAGCAGCTTCATCTTCGCAGAGAAACTAGCAGTGTGAGGAAGTATGCAAAAGTGGAACAACTTTATAAGGGCAGTTTGAAGCCTGTGAGTTATCAGACTGCCTACGCTGTTCTCAGAAATGGGTGGGAGTGCTTGCATCACGAGCAAAGTAGGTAGTGCTTGCAAGAGTAGCACTTTTCAGTGAGTATTCCTGACTCAGAACTAGTGTATGTAAGCAAAACGATGAAATACATGTGTACTGATCACTTATGCAGTTTAATTTCATTCCTTTTTGTACATGGATTTTCTTTTTGGGGAAAAAATCACTTAGCTCTGTGTTGTAATAGTCTTCTAACATCTGTTTCTTAACATTTGAGTGTTCTAAAACTGCTTTTGAAAACCAGACTGTAGTTTTACCACAGCAGGTGCAAAAGGTGAAAAACAGCCCCTTTCCCAGTTTGAGGTTTATCACAGCAATAGCTTCACTGACACCCTCCTCCTAAAACTTTTTTAAACTGAATAGATGTATTCATGAAAATGATTTAAATCCCAAAGCATGTTGAAACACACATATAGTTTTGGTTCCAAACATTTTTCAGGATCGAGTCATAAACTAAGAAGGGCGAGCAGCACTTTCTTCTTTCTATTTTGCCTAGCACTGCTTAGAATAGTTACCTGGAATATTCATGATCTGTATGGCACATCAAAGTTAAAATTCATTGTTATCTGATTCTGAGTACTTTTTACTGACCTTTTCTAAGGCAATGGAAGGGAACTTAAGACCCCCCCTTCAATGCATGGGATCCTAACTGTTGGACTGATTGTCGAGAAAACCCAAAGCAAAGCCTGGTGTTCTGAATAATGTCCTGAATTCTAGATCTAAAGCAAGGCAGGGAGATAGGGAAGGAGCTCCCATGGGACCTCAGTCTGCCGTACTCTTTTCTGTATTGCTGCTTTTTGGGTCCTGCTTTTCTTTTCATTGTACCTTGTGTCACCTTTAAGAGTTAATCATGTACTTTGCATGACTAATTACACCAAATGGAACACTACAGCTCTAGGTGGCAATTGCCATGCACTTCCTCATTTTTATTCTACAGCCACCTTTGGCATGCTCATGTGGTGCCTATGTAGTTTTAATGATCTGTATCATTTTCTTTGTGCCCCGAAGCAAGGCTGCATGGACATGTCTTTGTTCATTCATAGCTCAGTCAAGAGCCAAATAACTTGCCTGAGTAAAGGATTTTTATACCAGTTCTTGTTTAATTAGTTCAATCTGAACAGTTTACTTCCCTAAACCCTATTTGAGATTACTCATAATACAGATTAAACATTAAACAGATGTTAGTCACACACATACTCTGTAAGTTCATGATCTCTGGAATGTTACTAGCTTTTATAGAGATGACAGGCTTATATTGATAGTGAAGGAGGGAGGCTTGGTAATAAAAACCTACTTGTCTGACCTGCTGCAATAATTCCTTCAGATTTCTGCGTAGCACAGTGGTCTGGGCACTTTCTTGGGAAATGGGTTTTGAATCTACCTTTCCCATATTCTAAATGAACATCCCAGAACCTGCCATGGTTCTTTTAGTTATGTATCTCTCCTTTTCAGATCATGATAGTTCTCCAGCAATAAGGTGAAAGAAGACCCCCCCCCCCCCAAGACTGCAACTTGGGTGTAAGACATTGACATCACTTTGGTTTTATTAAAAATGCATCAAAACTGAAATGTTTGTAACAGTAGATGGAATGTATGAATTTAATTTGTGAGTAAAACTTTAAAATTTTTTATTTGCTTGATAGGATCCTATATTTTTTTCTATCAGTCTAAAATCAGGTATTTACAGAGCCTTGTTCTCTTGTATGGCTGCAGCTGTCAAACTGAGGAAAGCTATACCAGCCTCTTTTGAGGGGCTTTATAACAGAGTTCCTAAATCCTTGCTATTTGGGAAGCTGCATTCCACCCCCGACACACACCTCCCCCCCCACACACACCTTGTTTGTTCAGTTTACAGTGAACTCTGCTTTCTGCTGTGTGACTTTGGATTGGACAAATTATTCTGTATTTGTAAAAGTAATAATAATTATCCTTGGTAGACCACATCTTATGAATTGCCTTGAAATGTTTAAATGCATATCAAGTACTGTTATGACGGTTGTGCTGCATTGAAAGCCTAAAATATCATTAGAACTGAGTGCCTTCAAGAAGTGCAGAAAATTCTAGTAATGCTGAATGTCAAATAAAAGAAAGTTCAGATAGTGACGTGAGGTATCTGAGCTTTTCAAACATCTTTGTCCTGAGACATTCATTCCTTGGTCCCTTATATATCTTCATTTTGGGATATTTATTTCCTCCTTTGGATGAGATTTCTGTAATCTTGAGATGCTCTGCTATCCTTCTGACTTTTTGTTATTAGTCTGATGTTCTGCTGCTAGGCTACTAGCAGTCTGTTTGGAGCCTGAAAGACCCATTTCTCCATGAGATATCCGTATGCTTCTCCTACCCGGAGAAGTCTCGTAATTGAGGACTGGTCTTTCTTCCTGTTCTGTCAGGGAATGTCCATTCCCAACAATTTGTCAGGTCTCTGTTCTTTCTTCGGGAACTCAAAGCAGTATGCCAAAGCCTTTTTTTGTGTCTTGTGCCTCTTATCTTCCTTGGGATAAATGAAGTAAACTTTCGAAACTGAGTTGTGAAAAAGTCTTTGCCCTGAGAAGGGGCACTGAACAATCTTATACTGTAAGATGCTGATGCATCTTAACTAATGGCAGAAATATAGGACCAGATCCAAACTGAGAACTGCAGTTTGTTTATAAACAAAGTTTCTTCCCAGATGGGGCTTTTCTAGATCCCTAGAGTGCTACGTATAATACTTAAAACTTTAAAGTAGTTAAGCAATCACAAAAGCCAAAAGCCAATCTTTTTCAACTGTGAAAGGGTCTAACTGAGTAACAGCTGATGACCATAAGTCAGAATTTTCTACCAACGTCTTTTGTTTGGTTAAAGGTCATTTTCTTGTAGCTTTTAATCTCTTTTGGTCTTCTTTTTAGGAATTTATTTTTCCTTCTGTGGACTGAAGAGATATCTCAATCTTACAGACATACCTTCCTAAAGATAAAGAAAATAACTGAGAGCTCATGATATTCTTAAATTCCATGAAAGATTTTAGTTCTGTTCCCAGAACTACCCAGCAGTTGCAAGGTTAAAGAAGTAATATATTTTGGTTTAACAGACTTGTCTTAGGACTGTTTATTCAAAGTTTATCAAAAGCAGCATGAACCATTTCCCGTGATCTTTTAGAGCAAGTTTTTTTTCTGTCAGATAATGGAATGCAGGTCAAATAGAAAACAACAAAGTTAAGACTGTAGGCAGCTGTTAACTTAACTAGTGACTATGGCAATTTAAAACATGACAGCTTGCCATCTCTTTTATTTTTGGCTTTGTGCTGGGAGTTAACATCTCCTGCAGCAGAGTTGCTGGAAAACATCCAGGTTTGTGTAAGCAGTTTGAGTATGAACAAACCTGGAGCACATCAAAGCTAATTCATATAAAGCATTTTGGTGGCAGAGGTGGGATGAGTTAATATTCAATTGCTGCAGTAATATTTTTTGATGATCTTGTAGACTTCAGTGATTCTGTGTTATGTTTTGGCTGAGAAAGAAGATGAAAAGTAATTAGATTCATCTTCAGTTTTTCCCACAATGTGGAGTATATACCAAAATATTTTTCCAAACCATGCAGTTAAAGACTGAAATAAGAAGTGCAACCAATAGCCTCATGGGCTTAGGTATAGCTGTTTATCACCTAAACTAAATGTTGAGAAAACTCAGTGACAAATCTTTTTTCTACTTGAAAAGCTAATAAACAGACTTTTCCTGGGGACTTCCCATACTTATCCTAAAACATCTACTGCCTATCAGTGTGTATGTAGTTACAGATGAGAGGGATTCTACCTTATTTGTTAACTCTAATGACTGCATTAATTTAAAAATCAAACCACATTTTTCTTTACCTTCTACCATCATAACCTTTCTCTGGAATAATGACTGATTACTTAAACAACACATATCCTTCCCTAAATATCTGCAGTGTAGCTATTCCTGTCTGTACTTTAACTGTTTCCCAGGCTACAAAAGGGAATGCAGAACTGTACTGAAATACTGATAACTACAATTTATGGTGAAACTAAATATTTACACTATTACTTTAGTGATTTTTATCTTCTTGTCTTAAAATACTTTGAAATATGTGCTGAAGCCTGAAATATTGTTGAGTAGAGAAATTCTAGATGACCTTAGAAGTGTTAGTCTTCTATAACTCTGTATGAATATTTGAGGCATATTGAAAAATGAGTGATGTAAATGACTGAATAAAAAGTGTAATGATGATATTTACTGGGCATATATAAATAGCGATGGAACACTTTGCATTAAAACCAGAGTTTAAGTCATCTAAACATCTGGTGCTTAGTCTGAGCTAGATAGTCATCTTTGGCTCCCTCTGTTGTCGAAGGCAAGTAAGAGCCTCACTGAGGATGCTTCTTGTTTCTTACAAATGCTGGAAAGCAGTCTGAAATAATTTAATTAAATTTATTAAAAGGAATCAGACCCTTAAATACACTAGCTTAATTATTATCCTCTAGTCTGGCATCTCTTTTTGCCTTCCTTATGCTTCCTAAAGCCTAAATGCAATACATTTCAGTCTTTAACTGCATGGTTTGGAAAAAATATGCAAGTGAGACAAATAAGATAGTCAATGTTTAGACTCAGTACTTCAGGATGAGTCAGTATCTTCTTTTGGGTGAAAAGTAGAGAGAGCTGTTGGTACATCAGACTGTCTTATAACTGGTGCAATATTTATTCAATGAGTGCATCCTTATTCAGTCACTGCATTTTCAAAATTTGACAGGACAGGGCCCTGAGGTAACCTGGTCTAGCTTTGAAGCTAGCCTTGCTTTGAGCAGGAGGTTGGACTAAATGACATCCAGAGGTTCCTTCCAGCCTCAGTTTTTCTGATTGTGCTTCCCTCTTGTTTTACACAAAGTTTATTTTTTTGCTTTACTATATGTTGTAATAAAACTGATGTAAACAAAGCATTCTGGAAAATGCAAA